AACTTTTTTTTCTCACAACCAACCATTTCCTAAAAATCTCACCTATAAAAACCTCAAATTTCACCCTAAAACAAGTATAAAATGAACTCAATTTCTTTCTTTCAATCTAACTTCATACTTTAACCATTTAAGGACATAAACCAGTTATGCCAGACCTTATAACCCTTATCAAACTTCAGGTTCCTCTTTAAAATTCATTATTCCAAAAATTGACATTCCAACACTCATCAATTTAAGCCACAATTAGTAATTCAATTTTCTATTTTCACAACAATCATCATTCATACAATTTCGCCTCAACAACATATTCATTCCATAATACATTCAATTACACAACAATTCATACATAAATAACTTCTCAAGCTTTCATCATAAAACGCAACAATAACTATTTACTTATGTACCATAAAATTCATCAAAAAGTTCATCTAACCTGGGAATTGGATGCCTATACTTGATGGTGATGTTGTTTATGGCTCTAAAATCAGAACACATCCTCCAAGAACCATCCTTTTTAGGCACTAGAATCACATGTGCAATACATGGACTAATGTTATCTCTAAACCAACCTTTATTCATCAATTCTGTCACTTTCTTTTCAATCTCTTTGGTCTCTTATGGGTTGCTTTTATATATAGTTGGCCTATTCGAAAAAGAAGCTCCCCAAATGAGATCAATTTGATGCTCAATTCCTCTTAAAGGTGGCAAACCATCAGGAACCCTTATTGAAAACACATCTTCATAATCCTGCAAAAAAGACTTAATATTAGGAGGCAATTCAAATTTATCAAATTGGTTAGCATATAAAATTTGACTTTGACAAAACAACAAGTAGAGGGGCTACCTTGTACAAAACACCCTATTTACCTCCCTTTATTTTGCTAAATAAAGTTATGGAAAAGAGTTCCAAGGAGGAATTCCTTATTTGTAATTTCAAGTGTTGTTATTATGAATGTAAGAAGCTTAATTCTAATGGGTTATCCTAACACTTTAATAATCATTCGTGCTCAAGTAGAGAGTGATAAGTCATGTCGTGAGAGCAATAAGAGGTCAGTTGGAAAAGGGCAAGTTAAAGTGTTAACCTTGTGTGATAGCTTTGAGTGGGTCAGTTGTTCCACCACACAAGTGCAGAACCCACCATGGTCCCAGCCTTGGGGCCTTTCTCCATCTGGCAAAGAGTGTTTTAACGGACTAACCTTGTGTGATAGTTAAGGGGTCAGTTGTTTCACCACACAAAGGGTAGAACATGTTATAGCTCGACATTCATAGTATATTCAGATGAGTCAAGTCTATGGTCGTTGTGTGATTCTAAAATGTGTAATTTATAATTTGAAAATTAAATATTATGTGATAATTTTGTTTATACTAGCTTACCCTTACTTTTGTTTTTGTTTGTCTGATGTTTTCACTTTTGCAATGATCACCTTAATGGGTGTGAGCTTAGGGAGGACATCTTTCCAATTGTCTTATTGTAGGGGTTGAGGGTAAAGCAGCGATATAGATAGTTTTTTTTGTTCTCAAGGTGTACACTTTTCTTCTCGTGAAATCTCAAGTTTGTTATAAGTTATCATCTTTGTAGCTTTTATTTTTGTGGTTTTATATTGTTAAAATGGGATGTAACAATTATTACCATCTCCTTTTATATTCATTTTTAAAAAATATATTTCTTCAAAACAAGAAACTATGTTAATTCAATACAACAATATATTTAAGCATACAATTAATCACATATCAAACATACAAAAAATGAACAACTTATTACAAAATTATATAAAATTATATGGTCATATTAAAAAGTAAATTTTAAACATAATAATAGGAACCAGAGAGCATGAAAGGCGGACAACAATGAAAAATGATGCAATAACTCGCGTTTTGAACAAAACAAAATCTCACAAAAAAAAACCAATACCTCGACACAAATACAAACAACATATTAGTCTCAAGAACATAAACAAACTTAAAAACGCCCAAAAAAGATAACAAGTGAAGAAAGAAAAGCTACTTGCGGAGAAACACCTTCACGAAAGAAAAACTAGTAACGACGAGTTCAAACATTAATGGCGATGTTGGAGGCAATGACCACGATATTCAGAGTAATGGAGCAGCACAGGTTCGCAAGCAATGAAGAAGAAAACCAAAGAAGAAATTGTACATGGGTTTGTAAATTTTCCCTTTTTTTACCCTCCAAACACATATTGTATCAATCATTTTTTTAACTAAAGCACTAACTACTTTATGACATCAGTTTTACTAAAAACTGCTACCTAAAGCTTCTTGAAATAATTAAAAATAAAATTTTTAAAGGCATTTTTGAAATTTGGTTCACACTTTTGGCCTCAGACCTTTGTAAAACCGAAGTATAAGGACTCTATGACATCAGTCTGAAAAGAATCAGAGTTATAAACCTATTCAAAATCTGAACAGTTTGAAATACCTCTTTATAGAGAGAATGTTAAGACTCTATGACATTAGTTATATGACATTAGTTATAAGAAGAATCAAGACAATAAACTTTGTTCATAATGTTATTAGTTGAAAAGGTCAAATTTGTGCTTATTTGCATCCCATTAAGCTTAGATTATTATTTAACCGAAACTAAAAACTATATATAATGACTTTGATTTTTTTTAACTGAAATTTATATATTCACAAAAATTGTAAAAATGTTATTATACCTTTTTATGTTTCGATTTCGTGAAAAACAAAACATAATAGGCGATTTACTAGTAGTGGTAATAAAGTCAAGTTAGTCTTGATGATTAAAAACAAATATGTTTTTTTATAATAAAGATCCAACAACAAATAGATTAAAAAGGAAAGGGATTAAAAGGGAAACAGTTAAGATAAGTATAAATAAAGATAATCATTTTCTATTGTGGTGAAAACCTATGAAAAAATTCAACTCATATTTAAGAGAGAAATGGTTATAAATCTAAATGAGTTGAAAATTCTACGTTAAATAATATAAATAAAATTGAATAACATATAAAAGAAATGAAAAAAAAATCCATAAATTGAATCTTAAAGTTCGGTTTACATTAAAAGTGTTGTAAAATTTCTTAAGAAACTCGTACACCATTCATAGCGTATCTTCCCTATAAAAATTCCTCATACAATTGAGAGATTTATTTAAATCTTATGAATGAAAAAACATTAAAATATATATATATGCATCTGTAATGAACTCGGAAAAATTATTTTATAATCCGAGCTACAGTCTATTTCCAACTCCATCATAAAGACAGAGAAATCCCAAGCCATACAATTTTTTTCATTGTCCTTTCTTAGCCTTTCCTTTGCCGTATCCAATTTTTTCTTCAGTCCTTCGCACTTGCATTCATCTCTCTTTCAATAATGGATTCAAAGTTAGGCAGTTACTTTCATACCCTCATTAAATAATTTATTTATTTTGGTATCTATTCGAATACAATCGTAAAAACTTTATACGTTAATAAATTATTTTTTTATTGATAGTACGTGTTAAAATTTTAAAACAAAAAGTTAATAAATTTTTATATAGGTTGACTCGAGAGAGTTTTAATTATGACTCTGATATCATGTTAGAAGTGTACTTTAAATCTAATTTAATTGAGTTTGTAGGATGTGATTTACATTATGAACTAATTTTTAATCGATATTGACTTTCAAGAATCTACTTTTATCATTTTTATTTAACTCAGGACTTTAGGTACTGAACACAACGTTAATGTTAAAATGTCTGTTTGTGCAGTAGAAGCTCTTAAAGATATAGCTAAAACAGTTGGGAAAAGTGATTGGGACTTCAATGTAGATCCGTGCAGTGAAAATCTAAAGTGGAGTTTGCCTGGACCTTATGATTCAAAACTAGTTCCCAGAAATAATGTCTCCTGCAATTGCTCTATTGACAAATTCTGCCATGTTATTAGCATGTAAGCTTATTTTCACTACAAAAACACGCATAATTTTTGATTACTATATTATTAACATTAATTATTTGCTCGTGTCTAATTTATTACAATTTTTTTATCAAAAACATTAATATTATCTTAATATGATAATTTCTCTTCTGTCACTGTAACTATGCAATTGGTTTAAAGTACATATGTTTGATTTGATAATTAGTCTTAATTATAGCATAACTCTTTGTGATAGATAAACTATATATAATACGGGTGTAAACTAAAGAAATATTACCATTCATGAATATAAATTCTCTTTTTTTATATATAAGATTTTAATATTATTCTCAATTTTTTCGTGGTAAAAACATAACAGTGATATCGTAGGACACAATCTTCAAGGCAATCTTCCAAAAGAGCTGGTTGGGTTACCCTACATTCAAAATATGTACGTGAGACTCTCTTATTCAAGGATAATAGTATCAGTAAATTCATTTATATTTAACTTCTTAATTATTATCATATTTACACGAAGATTTTCATTAAAAAAATCATTAAATTTTAAGTATATAGTTAATTTGAATATTTTTAAGAATAAAATATGTTTTTAGTCTCAAATTTTGATAAAAAATTAAAATTTGTTTGTGTTTGAAATTTAAATATATTTTAATTTTAAATTTTAAAAATAAATGGACTTAATTTTTTGATTTAATTACGTTGAATTTTTTAATATGTCAAATATTTTTTATGTTAGTATTTAATTTATTTATATTATTTAACGTATTTTTGTTTTAATATTAATTAAAAGTATATTTGATATATTAAAAGAATTTAATATAATTGGATTAAAAAATTATATTTATTATTTATAAAGTTAAAAACTAAATTACAAATTTTGATATTATGTTTAAAATATCAAATTTTATATTTAATCCTTTTTTATTTAAATTACAAGTTTGATATTATGTTTCACTTTCATTTTGTTATTTATTTATTTTTTGAAACAGTGACTTATCCCTCAATTACCTTAACGGTACAGTTCCCAAAGAATGGGCAACCTTAAAATTTCTCAATACCATGTATGCTTTCTCTCCATCTCTCATTTTCGAGCTTAATCGTTTCTTCATTTTTTAATTTACCTTTTGAATTTGTATATCCTTTTAAAATAATATTTCATTATCATGATTTGCATTTCTTATGACAGTGCTCTGTTGGGAAATCGACTAAGTGGTCCATTTCCTGAAGTGCTCACACAAATCACCACTCTTAAGACTTTGTAAGTTTTTCTATATCTATTGTAATGTAACAGTAATCAGTGTCTTTTGAATTTTACGAATATATATATCACTCTCTCTTTCTTTGTTTCAAATTGAATAGGATTCTGGAGTCCAATAATTTCTATGGAAATCTTCCTCCAGAACTTGGCGATCTTCCACAGTTAGAAAGATTGTAAGGCATCCTTTATTTTTCTGTGCAAAATAAATAATATAGGGTTAAATATATTTTTAGTCTCTAAACTATTGGTCGTTTCTGGTTTTCGTCCCTGTTTCAAAGTAAGGTACAATTTGATCCTCATTCTTTTCGAAACGTTCGTTTTAGTCCTCGAAAACTAAACACTGTTTAAAAATTTGTTCCTCGAGGACTAAAATCAAAATTCCGAGGACTAAAACGAACCTTTCGAAAAGAATGAGGACCAAATTGTACCTTACTTTGAAAGAGGGACGAAAACCAGAAACGACCAATATTTTAGGGACTAAAAACATATTTAACCCAGTAATATATGTTGAACTTAAAACTGATTTAGAATATATAATTTAATATAAATCTTACTTTAAAATTTGATTTTTTAGGATTAAGTTAGACTTAAAATTTACTTTTTAACTAGTTTATAATTTTCAAGGTGTCCATTTAGTTTCTTATATTATAGCATTTAAATTCACATCTTATCCATCTAATTTAGGTTAATTTATAATATATAAGTGGATACAAATCTCATCTTACAAAGAGTGTGTTGGTCTTACATGTGTTGGAAGTCCCATGTAAGACTAATTTATAATATATAAAATAAAGTAAAATTTATTTGTTTAATATTGTTTATTTTTTTATGGGTGAAAATTGGATTAATTGCACACATGAAACTGATTACATAATTTCTTGATGCCACAGGCTACTTAACTCTAATAATTTCACAGGGGAGTGGCCTCAAACACTTTCCAATCTGAGTACATTGAGAGATGTGTAAGCTTCCTATTTTTACTTTCCATCAACTCGTTTCATTAGATCCAACTATTTAATAATCCATTCTAATTAAAATAATTGTGATTTTAAGTTTTTAATCTATTTATTTAAAATGCATATAATGTTAGAATTAATGACTCCTGGAAGAATAATTTTATTTGAATCAAGATATCTTTTTTTATAAAAGGAATACACATGTGAATTAAGTAGACGTTAAGTAAACGTTAATGATAATAGTTTAATTATGCTAAGTGGATGCTAATAACATCGACTAAAGCGACACTAACTTGATGTTAATAGTGTCGGCTGTGTCCACGCAAATAACAGTAACTTAAACCAAATTTATGATATGAGCCAAAAAAATATAAATAATAAATAAAATTTAATTTAACGTGATAATTTAGGGAATATGTATATTATTAAATGTTATGATTTATTTTAAGTTTAAATTTTTATTGTAATTGAATCTCGATATTTAAAATAATAAATAAAATTTAATATAACGTGATTTTGTAATTTTTTGTAAAAATAAATTATCAGACGTGTTAGAATAGTTTTCATATGACCTTTCTCAAATCAAATCTATTTTAGATTTAAATATTATTTTTTTCACTTTCCATTCTTGCATTGAAAATAAAGCATTAATATATTTTTCAAGTTTTAATTTCACCAATTTCACCACAAGATTATTAAAAGAAGATATAGTAGACGTTATAGAATTAGTAATTTTTTTTTTGTTGGGACCCTTTAATTGTAGAATTTTGTTCAGAATTAATTGTCACTTTTTTCATGTTTACTTTATCACAAATTTGCAGACGTCTGGGCGATAATCAATTTTCTGGAAAGATACCTAAATTTATTGAAAAATGGACAAATCTCCAAATATTGTGAGAACCATTTCTCCACAAAATTAAATTTAATTGTTTTTCTATGGTTCATTGATCATATACAACCATAAGTTTTGTTTGGTCAGAGATATTACAGGGAGTGGCTTGGCAGGACCATTTCCATCTGGATTTTCATTTCCGCAAAGCTTAATCAAATTGTAAGTATCATGCGATAAAAAAATGCGTTTATAATCTGAATTTTGGAGAAAAAAATAGAGGATATTAATTTTTACTTTGAAAAAGTGTTTTTTATTTGATAATTCTAAAATAAAATAGAAAATGAACTATTCTATTTTTATTTATTTTTATAATTATTTTATAATGCAGGAAAGTTACTGACTTAAATGGACCCGAGTCAACTTTTCCATCAGTTAACTTGATACGATTGGAACGATTGTGAGTATTTATTTATTTATTTTTGTCTTTATTTCATCTCTTTTGCTTACTATTTAAAGAATAAATTACTACTTATGGCTTTCACTAATTTAATTGATACAAGTCTAAACAAAGGTGTAGTGATTCTATACATTAATATTAATTGAAATAAGTGATAACCATTAAGTTATGTTATATAAGATTATAGTATACACTATTAGTTGTATAGTTTTAAGTAGTGTTCGAATTATTGTAAATTAATATGAATATACAAATAAATTTGACATTTAATTTATTTCTTAAAACGTTTTATGTTACTTTATATTAATGTATAAAAAACAAGAGTAATGGTAGCAGCAACTCTGAATTAATAAAGTCATTTTTTCTTATTACTGTTGGGATAGATATTAGTGTGACCACAGCGAGGCGAGGTTATATTATTAAGTTATAAAATAATTTTTGTAATAAATTCATTATAAAATTAAATAATTGTTATAATTTTATTATAATTAATTTTTATTATAATTAATTTTTATTACATAAGTGATTTTTATTATTCTGAATAACTATTTGAGCTAAGAAAAATATTTATTAAGAAAGTAAAATTAAAAACAATTACGTATATATAAAAGAATTTTTTTGTTAATGGTATATATGAAATTAATAATATACTGTAATTATAATTTCTAGAAAAAAAATAAGTAATATTAAAGACTCACATGATATAACATATAATAAATTTCAATTTCAGAAATTTATTTCAAAAACCGTTACAAAAATGTTTCACCATTTTAAGACCCAGAATAATACTTATTCTAATATTTAACTATTCTGCAGGGTATTAAGGAATTGCAATATTAACGACAAAATACCAGAATATATTGGAAACATGACAAATTTGAGACTTTTGTAAGTTCTTATTTACTCATTTCTTCATATTTGCTTCAGATTTTTGTGACCACAAACACCCAATAATTTGTAGTTACATTTGTTGTAGAATACAAGAATAAAAATGAGTATACATGAAATAATAAATTTAGCTCCTATATTTTTAATTCTTTTATTCAAAATTAGATTTACAATAATATGTTTAATTTCATTTAACGAAAAGAAAAAAAATATTTTGCCTCTGAAAATTTTCTCACTACCACTAAGTTCATATGCCTTGGCTTATAAAATAAATTTTTATTTATTTCAGGGATCTCAGCTATAACAGATTAAGGGGCAAAATTCCAAACATGGAAGGACTAATAAACGCAACTAATATGTACGTATCCGATTTTTCCAAAGAAATATTTGTTAGATTATGAATCCAATTAAATCAATTATTAATGAGGAATGGATTCTTTTATTAATAGAGCAATAAACTCTTTTATTAATAGAGTAATTTTTAATTTTTTCAGGGGAAGTGTATTTGAATTGATAATTGAGAACAACTTAGATGTATATGATCCAAATAACTAACCAGCATACTCTTTAATAAGAAAATCTATTTGATAATCATACATATTATTTAAATTTTTTTAATTTAAAACATTGATGTGTATTATAGTATTCAAATGAAGTTGTTAAGTGAAATTATTTTACTTCCAAAAACACATTCGTTACACATAGTGTATGAAATAGTGCATTTTAAAATTTCAGCATGAAAAACAGACAAACTTTGTATAATGACTATAAGGTGAAGTTTAATTATTTTCAAGGGACAAAATATATTCTTTATAATGACTGTTTCGTTTTTTTATTATATAATGACTATTTCGGTTTTTTTTTTATTATATATATATATATATATATATATATATGTAATAGATATTTTACTGGAAACCTTCTCACTGGATCAAGAAATGAATGGAGATTACCTAAGAAGGCTAAGTTCATGTGAGTTATTTATTTTATTTTTCAAACACATGTTTCTTTATAATCAATACTTAGGTTTCCTCAGATCAAATTATCCAGTTGTTCTTCATGGTAATTAAAATATACAATTTTTTGACATCTTATTTTCTTTACCACATTTTTCACATTTTGTGCACAGAGATCTTTCATACAATAATTTCAGCAACGGTAATGAAGGAGCACCAGGATGTCTGGATCAAAATAAGTAATATTGCATATTCATGTTCATATTTTTGCTATGTTTCATGAATTTATTTTCGACTAATCTATGTCTTATATAAATGCCTAGGAATGTTTTTGCAAGCTTTTCAAGTGAGAATAACTCGTAAGTTTAATTTCGGATACATTTTACCTTTATCAAGTGTATTTACTAAAATTTAGTTGAAATTCATCATATATTAATTAATACTGCTTAATTTAATTACTTTATTGGTCATGACTTGACAAGTCAATTATTTATTTATTTATTTATCTTTCAGAGGACCCTATTCTTGTATAAAGGCGACATGTGCTAAGAGTAAGTTGATCGAACAACTAACTTTCGTAAATTTGTCTCAAAATTTCAGTGTGTTCGGTTAGTATTATAATATAAAAAGTATTATCGTACTTTGTAAGCATTAAAGTATTTAAAATTTGACTGTCTTGTTTTTAGCCTCTTACTCCTTCCATATAAATTGTGGTGGAAATGATGTGATAAGAATTGGAGATACAATATATGATCGTGATTTAAGCGTTCAATCGGAAGAAGTAGCAATATCTTATTCGTCATATTGGGCGATTAGCAATACTGGTCTCCTATTAGACGCTAACAGTGAAAAAGAAGCACGCAGCTACGAAGTACAAAATATATCAAGGCTTTATATGTCTGATGCTGAAGCCAAACTCTATAGCACTGCAAGAATGTCTCCCCTTTCTTTAACTTATTATGGATTTTGCCTCGCAAATGGAAATTACACAGTAAGACTTCACTTTGCTGAGATAATGTTCACAGATGATAACACATACAGAAGCCTAGGTCGACGTCTATTTGATGTTTACATTCAGGTATCATGCTTAAGCAATTCTTGTCACCACCCTTTCTCTCTCTTTTGCCCAATGCAATTCTTTTTTTGTTTTCTTCTATTCTATTCATCCATTAATGACATGATATTTTATAAGATCAATGATATATGTTTGGTTCATCCAAGAGTAAGTCCAGGAAAGAGATATAAACATTAATGAGATATGAATCCAATCACGTAAGGGATTAACATCAATTTTTACTCAAAAAATCTTAAGACAATGAGTTAATGAGTTTTTCACTTTTATATAGTATTTTACTTTCTCGTTTTTATCTAATGTGAAATTTGTACTCACGTTTACATTCCGAATAGAATAATCATATGATTTCAGGTACATTGGCTAGTATGTACTGTATCTCATTATTTATCAGCAAAAATCATTTTATAAAGAAACATTATAGTTTGAAGGTGGAATAATGCTGCAGGGAAAACGAGTATTGAAGGATTTCAATATAGTAAAGAAAGCACAAGGGGCTGGAAAGGCACATATAGAAAATTTTACTGCTTCAGTGAGTAACTCAACCTTAGAGATTCGTTTCTATTGGGCAGGAAAAGGGTCAACTGGTATTCCAAAAAGATCAGTATATGGCCCTCTTATTTCAGCAATATCTGTCACTTCTGGTGGGTTGTCTTTTCTCCAACTTGTATTTCTTTTCTTTACATTTACAATAATATTTTATACATGTACTTCTTCTTATCACCAACAGATGATTTTAAACCTCCATCACCACCTGGTCATCATCATAAACGGGTCGTGCTTCTCATTATGGTTGCAACATTGGTTATTCTCATCTTGGTTTTCGGCATACTTTGGTGGAGATTTTGCCTTAAAAGTAATAACTCATTATCTAAAGGTGAGTATGAAAAATGTTTCCTTATCTAATTTAGGGCATTCATGCTATGGAAAATGCTTACTTTTCAAAATTATTAAGGATGATTTAAATCGATGCAGAATTCAAGGATTTAGATTTGAAAACTGGTGTATTTACCTTACGTCAAATCAAAGTAGCAACAAATAACTTCAATATTTCAAACAAGATAGGAGAAGGAGGATTTGGTCCTGTGTATAAGGTATCTAAAATGTATATTTTGTTCTGAATTTTGTGTTTGATTATTGTGACTGTTGAGATTATTTAGTTATTATTATAAAGTGTATTCCATTGTTTACATGTAGGGCATTTTGTGGGATGGCACAATGATAGCAGTGAAACAACTTTCGTCTAAATCAAAACAAGGAAACCGAGAGTTCATAAATGAGATAGGCTTGATCTCAGCTTTGCAACATCCTTATCTGGTTAAACTTTATGGTTGTTGTGTCGAGGGAGATCAACTATTGCTGGTATATGAATATTTGGAAAACAATAGTTTAGCACATGCTCTATTTGGTAAATCGTTAATTTATATATGTTCAACATTGATTTATTTTTTTATTTCACATTGCAATAACTTTGTTTTGACTAAATATTATTTCTTGTCCATTTTTATAAAATTGCAAAGGTAGCGAAGAAGTTAGTTTACAATTAAATTGGGCAATAAGGCAGAAGATTTGCATAGGTATCGCTAAAGGTTTGGCTTTCCTACATGAAGAATCAAGAATCAAAATTGTTCACAGGGACATCAAGGCCACTAATGTGTTGCTTGATAAAGAGCTAAATCCAAAAATATCTGATTTTGGTTTAGCTAAACTTGATGATGAGGAAGACAACACTCATATAAGCACTCGAATAGCTGGGACCTAGTTAGCCTTTCTCTTCTTCTCATCTTTCATTATATCTTACCCAATTGGAAAAATATTTTTTGACACATCTAAATTTTTTATATTTATTTGATACTATTTTTATTCACTTTTTAATCTCTCTTTTTTAAAAAAAATACAAAACTTTACCTTTTATAACCATCGTATCCTTTATTAGGTATCAAATGAATATAAAAATATAGATACTATTATTTTATCCAGTTATAACAAACTCAGCCATACTTTTCTTTTGATGTGATTATATAATTGAATTTTTGCAGTGGATATATGGCTCCTGAATATGCCATGCATGGATATTTGACAGAGAAAGCAGATGTTTATAGTTTTGGAATTGTTGCCTTGGAAATTGTTAGTGGAAAGAGTAACACAATCCACCGACCAAAGGAGGGAACGATCTGTCTTCTTGATTCGGTAATTTTACTTACAAACTTATCTATTATTCATGCGAATCTAAAAACTACATAAAATAATCTAATTACCCTTTCTGTTGTATGTGTTAAAGAAATAGTGTCATACAATTTTCATCTAGTGTTAATCCATAATAGCAATTGTGATTAACATCTTACTTTTGATTTTCATAATTTTTCCTAAAATTAAGACATATATCTCACATATTGTGTTAAGTTACTTTTTTTTTTTAAATTATGGTTTTCAATTGCGTAACTCTATGTGCTGGATTTTCTACAAAGATTCTCAATGATTTTTCCTTTCCAAGTTAGGCACGTGTGTTGAAAGCAGAAGGTAAATTAATGGAGTTGGTTGATGAAAGACTAGGGTCAACTTTCAATGAAGAAGAAGTCATGGTGATGATTAATGTGGCTCTTCTGTGCACCAATGCTACTTCCAATCTTAGACCCACCATGTCTTCAGTTGTAAGCATGCTTGAAGGCAAAAGTCTTGTTTCAGAATTCGTTTCAAATACAAGTGAAGTTATGGATGAAATGAAGTTAGAAACAATGAGACAGTACTATAATCAAAGTCAAACTTTATCAATTGAATGGCCTTCATCTTCATCTTCGGTTGATCATTATCCCCTTTACCCTAATTCATCATTGGAGACCAACAGATTAAAAGATTCTATGTAAAACTGTAATCAGTCTTTATATAATTTGATGTATTTATACTTTGAATGTTTATTCGTAGAGTCTTGTAATACAAGTAAAACGATATGATTCTGCGATAATTAATATTTTAAATTTGTTGTTAGTTTTGTTAGTTTTAAGAGTGAAGAGTTATATCACCACCTCTTTTATTTTCTTTTAACTTTTTCTACTAGACCACTTTTATATATATATATACAATACATTGCAATTAGAAAAGGGAAGGGAGAAAGAAGGTTTATCTTTCCGGGACAATGAATATGATTTGCTGCACAAGGAAGACGAACTGTCATTATTTAAAAAAATTGGAAGGGAAGGGAGAAAAGAATGAGGTATATAATAGTCCTCTGGTTCCTGCACATGGTTTTTTGTATTTTATTACTCTAGTGAGACAATCACCAGCCTACTTTTAAATTTTCTATATAACAACTACGTTATATATAATTTATTGCTTGTTTGGTAGCTTCTGTTGGCTTTCTCCATTGCCAGTTTATTCAAATAAATGCACTCCAATAATTGCATGGAAAAGACATTAGACGACTAGGTAGACTTTGACTCTTTCTGAGTAAGTATACATATTTTTCTTAACAAACACTTCAAATATATGTATATATTTCTTAAAAATTTAATTTATGTAAAAATAGTTTTAATTTATAATTTTATTTTTATTTTTATGAATGTCAATTAGATTCAATTATTTCTTAGGGTTTAAATAACCCCTTTCATCCTTCTTTATGGACCTTTTCCAAAGTTCTTCTTTGTACCTAAAATTATGTCGTCAATAATTTCCTCTATTTTTCTTCGACTAAATAGCTCAAAGTTCAATTCTACTTTTTTGTATATTTTCCTTTATATAAATTTCCAACCCATCTGAAGTTGTTTTCCACTGTTCCTAATTCGGTACTGAGTCAGCATGAAGAAGATCACTCCTTCTCCATTTCTCTTCTTTTCATTCCTTCTGCTATGCTTCACATCCCTTGCTTTTGGACAAAATATCACTCACCCAGACGAAGGTACGATATGTGTGTGTATATATATGTAGAAAGTTATTTGCTGATAGCCCTTTGAAATTTGGTTATTTATAGTGAAAGCTCTGAAAGATATAGGCAACATCCTTGGTAATAAGAACTGGGACACAAATATAGATCCATGCAGTAATAAACCTCCCTGGAATGTAACTATTGACAAAGACAAAGCCAACTATGTCAGATGCAACTGTTCTATCTCCATTGACGGCTTTTGTCATGTTGTTTCAATGTAAGTTTCTTTGTTTAAGGTATTCCCTTTCCTGTCAAATTTTGAGATATTTTCACCAACTCTGATCTTTTAGACCAACTATGAAACTATATCTGAAATGGTTTGTGTAATTATTTATATTGACAATTTCTTCTCTTTTCTTTAAAAAAATTATAATAGTTCTGGACCATCAATGTTAGATTGGATAATAACTTCACAAAATAACTTCGACATGCTGCTAAAATTATGGAAGTTATTATTGCTAATAACCATTTTTATAATATTGACTTTTGACATATTTGATTAGAAACTATTCTTGAGTAAGATTATTTCTGTTTCTCAAAATTGTTTCTTTATCTTTTAAAGAGATGTAAAAAATACTTGAAAATATAGAAAGGAAAAAAGTTAAATTATTTTCATACTTTTAGGAAGGAAAATCATTGTGTATAAGTTGAGTTTTCTAGGATTACAAAATAAAATTCAAGAAAATGATATGATATTATGTGTTCTTGATTTTTTTTCATAATAAATATATAAACTTCTCATGTTTATAGTTGTTTATCTTCTTTTAAAAGAAATTTTCTATATATTCTTTGTTCACAGATTTGGTTTGGCTTCCATGTTTTTTGTTTTTATTTTTCTTTTTCAATAATATTTTTATGTAATGACAGGTTAGTAAAGTTTAGAATCATACTGCTTTGTAATGTTTAACATGAGTTTTGAAAAAAAGGCACTCTGTTATGAAAAAAAATCATTTTTCATACTTTTTCTAATTATTTTCATTTTTTATTGTTGTGTTTAATCCAACTATTATAACTGGCAAAATGACAGTCAACACGTTTATCCTCTGTTACATATATATACATTCCTTTTGTAATTCAATAATTCAATTCTAATGGGAATACACCTCAGTTTTCTCAATCTCTCTCTGTACTCTTTCACTATCTGTCATTCGCTCTCTTTCTGCATAATCTCCTAACAGTGGTATCAAGAGCAAGATTGCGAAAACCTGTGAAGAGTAGTGAAGTTCAAGAAAACTCATCAAGAAGAAGAAAGTCTCGTGGAAGTGATGGTTGGAATGATTCATATCAATCTGCCAGTGTTTGATGGCAAAGGGTATGATGATTGGTGTGTCAAGATGGATGCAATTCTTGGCTTCCAAGAAGTAGATGAGATTGTGAAGAAAGGTTTTAAAGAACCTTCGAAGAGTGATTCAGAGGAAATGAAGAAATTGTATAAGGAGAATAAGAGGCTGGATTGCAAAGCTAGAATGTTGTTGCATCAGTGTATATCTGCTGCAATTTTCCAGAAGGTTTCTAAGGCTACCACGAGAAATGAGGTATGGGACATTCTACAAGAATGTTACGATAATTCTGGGAAGGTAAAGAAGATTAGGTTGCAGTCTTTGCAAAGACATTATGAGCTTCTGTGCAAGGGGGAGCAAGAAACCATTGTTGAATACATTGGGAGAATCCAGGTTGTGGTGAATGCAATGAGGTCTTGTGACAAGACTGTGAAAGACAGAAAGATAGTTGAAAAGAAATCAGAACACTAACTCCTCAATATGATCATATAGTTGTTGCCATAGAGGAGTGTAAAGATCTTGAAAGCATTAGAGTTGAAGAATTGCAGAATTAGTTGGAAGCACATGAGTAGAGGCTGATCGAAAGGAAAAATGTTGAAAAGAGCATGAATCAAGGTACAAATCAAGCCTTACAAACCAGAACTGACCAAAAATTAAAGGGTCATGGAGCTAGAAGAGGTAGAGGACGTTCAAGAGGTGGAAGAACTGGAGGCAGAAATGCAAACTTCTCTGAACAATCTGCTGAGGAAAATGGCAGCGAACAAAGAGAGGTAAACAAAAGAGGTGGAAGGCAGTCAAGAGGTAGAGGCAGAAAAGGCTATGATAAAAGAAACATCCAATGTGATACGTGTAACAAATATGGACACTATGTTGCAGAGTGTTGGCACAATGAAGCTGTGAAGAAAGGCAAGAATGATAGCGAACCTTGCACAAGACACATGTGACTCAGAATCAGACCATGTGTTATTGATGAGCACGATGGAGAATGCTAAAGATGATTTATGCTGGAAGTTGGCATAGGACAGGTGTGATCAAGAACCAGACCACATGTTGCTATCAAATGTAACGGGCCATGCAGAGGGGACAGGTGTGATCAAGAACCAGACCACATGTTGCTATCAAATGTAACGGGCCATGCAGAGGATGACTCATGCAGTTGGTATCTAGACATAGGGTGTTCAAACCACATGACAAGAAAAGGAGAGTGGCTGGTGAATCTTGATCCAAGCATAAAAAGTAGCGTGAGGTTTGCGGATAACAGCACGATTATGGCTAAAGGAATTGGCAGAGTCTTGATCACCTGTAAGAATGACAAGATTTCCTACATGGATGACGTGCTATACGTCCCAACAATGAAGAGCAATCTGCTGAGTTTGGGACAACTCTTAGAAAAAGGGTACACAATGGAAATGCAGCAGAATCACATAAAAGTGTTTGACAGGAAACAACGCCCAATGCTCAAAGCTCCTTTTGCTAGCAACAGGACATTCAAGGTAAACTTGAATGCTGCAACAGTCCAATGCTTATCCACCATGGATGTTGAAGAAGAAGGATGACTATGGCACTATAGATTCGGTCACTTGAATTTTAAGAGCTTGAGTCAATTAAAGAGCAAAGAGTTAGTGAAGGGAGTTCCTCTGATATCCGCTCCAAATAAAATCTGTGAAGGTTGTGCTGTTGGGAAACAAGCTAGAAAGAAGTTCAAGAAGTCTGCACCCAAGAGAGCAAAATAGCCACTTAATGTAGTCCACTCAGACGTGTGTGGCCCCTTTGAGGTGTCATCACTTGGAGGTAACAAGCACTTTCTGATTTTTGTAAATGAATGGACTAGAAAAATCTGGATTGACTTATTAAAAGAAAAGAAAGAAGTGTACTCATATTTTGTGAAATTTTGTTCTTCGGTGGAGAGACAATCTGGTTTTCAGATCAGGATTTTCAGGACTGATGGTGGAGGTGAGTTTAACTCTAGTGAAATGGGCAAATTCCGTGATGACAAAGGAATCGTGCATGAAGTAATTGCTCAATATACACCCCAACATAATGGGTTAGCCAAAAGAAGAAATAGGATGATACTTGACATGACTACGTGCATGATCAAAGGAAAGAAGCTGCCTCATAGTCTATGGGGAGTTCAGCTTATTTGCTGAACAGAAGTCCAACAAAGGCAGTACCAAATTGCACTCCTGAAGAGGCATGGTCAGGAATCAAGCCAGCTGCACATCACCTGAGGATTTTCGGATCTGTGTGCTACAAACATGTTCCAGACGAGAGAAGAAAGAAGCTAGATGATAAGAGTGAGACTCTTATCCTAGTGGGCTACCATCCAACAGGTGCATATAGATTGTACAACCCAAAAAAGAAGAAAATTGTCATTAGGAGAGATGTGATAGTGGATGAGGCTGCAACATTTGATTGGAAGGAAGTTGAGGGAGACTTGAAACCATATTTCGTGCCTAGCTGGTTGGAAGACAAAAATCCTAATAATAATGAACAAATTACAACTAATTTTGGAGTTAATAATAGGAGATCTCAAAGAGCAAGGTTTCCATCTACTAGACTCACAGATCATGAAGTATTTGCAGACATATGATATAATGAGTTCTGGTGATCTTGTACACCTTGCTTGTTTCGAAGGCTATTGATATAAAGGAGTGGAAAGAAGCAATGATGGAGGATCTAAAGGCTATTGAGAAGAACAAAACTTGGGAACTGGTATCCCATTGATGTTAAGTGGGTGTTTAAGACCAAATATAAACCTGATGGAGAAGTGGCAAAGCTTAAAGCCAGGTTGGTTGCAAAGGGTTTTTTACAACAACTTGGAATATATTTCACAGATATATTTGCACCAGTGGCAAGACTTGAAACAGTGAGGTTAGTGGTTGCAGTGGCCAGAAGAGCTGGAAAATTTGCTAAATGGATGTAAAATCAACATTTTTGAATGGGCCATTAGAATAAGAGGTTTACGTGAGACAACCCCCAGGATTTGAGAAGGAAGGAGAAGAGCAGAAGGTATATAGATTGAACAAAACCTTATACGGGTTTAGACAGGCACCTCGGGCCTGGACAACCATATCAATGCTTTGCTTATAAGGCTTGGATTCCAGAAGTGCACTGTGGAATTTGGAGTCCATGTGAAAGCTGTTGGATAGCAAGGCATTTTGTTGATCTGCTTGTATGTAGATGATCTATTCGTGACATGAAACTCACCAGATGAAATTGAAGAGTTTAAAAGAAGAGTTTGAAATGACAAATCTTGGCAATCTAAGCTATTTTCTAAGGCTGGAATTCTGGCAAACAACATATGGTATGTTTCTTCATCAAAGGAGATATATCAATGAGGTTATGAAGAGATTTAGCATGGAGAATTGCAACAACACCTCAATTCCAGTCATGGCAAACTTGAAATTGACCAACCAAGCAAATGAAAGGAAGGTGGTTGCAACCCTGTATAAGCAGATTGTTGGATCACTTAGGTATATTTGCAATAGTAGACCTAACATTAGCTATGGAGTTGGGCTGGTAAGTAGGTTTATGAGTGATCCAAGGCAGTCACATCTAGCAGCTGCCAAACACATCCTGCGCTACTTGAAGGAACAACTAGTTTTGGTCTCTATTTCCTAAAAAGTCTGACAGCTACATACAACTACTTGTTCAAATACATGGGAGCACCAATTTCTTGGTGTTCCAAGAGGCAAAACGTGGTTGTCCTCTCTTCATGTGAAGCTGAATATATTGCCTCTATCGAAACAGCATGTCAATGTGTGTGGTTGGAGACAATCTTTGATGAATTGAAGCTTGAGTGTAGAAACCAGTGCAACTCTTAGTAGACAATAAATCTGCTATTAGTTTGTCAAAGAATCTAGTTTTCCATGGGAGAAGTAAACACATCGAAACTAAATTTCACCTATTGAGAGATCAAGTCAACAAAGGGAGATTAGAGTTAATACATTATTCCACAGAAAATCAAGTTGCTGATGTTTTTACTAAAGCCTAGGCAAAATAGATTTGAAAAGTTGAGAAATTTACTGTGTTAAATATATAGAGAATTTGGATTAAGGGGAGTGTTGTGTTAATCCAACTATTATAACTGTCAAAATGACAATTAGCACATTTCTCCTCTGTTACATATATATTTTGTAATTCACTAATTCAATTGTAATGAAAATACATCTCAGTTTTCTCAATCTCTGTGCACTCTTTCACTCTGCCATTCGCTCTCTTTCTGCATAATCTCCTAACCTTTATGTTGCATAAATAATTGTAGAATGCTGAAAACACAAAATCTTTCAGGCACTCTCCCACCTGAATTGACAGGGCTACCTCACCTTGAAGAAATGTACGTAACAATCAATTTTTCTTAAGAACAATAAATTTGCTTCATTCACTCTACGATCTTACCTTTTCTTTTACTTTTGCCCAATTGTGTATGCATCTGTCACCAACTACATTAATCAATACACAATTACTTTCTTTTCATTTTCTTTATTTTAACAGTGACCTCACTCGCAATTATCTTAATGGAACAATACCTGTTGCATGGGGCTCCTCCAAACTTCGCATTATGTATTTTCTTTTACTCTGTTGTTTTTTACTTTTTTTGTTGTTGTTGTATTTTTTAATATATAATTTACAAATATTGTTTTTATTTCTGAAAACATTTATCTAATTTACAATTTCATGGTAGTTCTCTTCTTGGAAATCGACTTACTGGTCCCATCCCAAAAGAGATTGGAAACATCACAACCCTCGAAAGTTTGTAAGTTTTTGGCTATCCAAGAGTATCTTCATTTCCAACTTTTGAATTTTAATTGTTCATTATAACTTACTATACTACTGAATATAGGGTCCTTGAATTCAATCAATTCACTGGAAATATTACATCGGATCTTGGAAACCTTTCTAACCTCCAAAGATTGTAAGCCATGCAATATCCAAAATCAAATTTCATTACGTTTGCACTTTTTATGTATAATCCACACAAGTGTATATGATTTATTAATATTATAACTTTTAAGATGTTTGTGATAAAAATTAATAAATAGTTATGTCTTTTCCAAGTTTTCTGTTTATCAATACGATGTTATGAACAAATTTATTAATAATGCATTTATATTATTTCAACAGGCATCTTACTTCTAACAACTTCACTGGAGAACTTCCTGAAACTTTGGCTAAGCTTACATCATTGAGAGAGCTGTAATTTTTCATTTTATTGCCATTTGTTAATTTGAATTTTGTTGCTTTTTTAGCTTCTTTGAATTTTATTTTATTTTCAATTTCCATTGTTAACATGCAGCCGTCTTAATGACAATAACTTCTCTGGAAGGATACCCAGTTTTATTCAAAGATGGACAAATCTTGAAATATTGTAAGAACACTTTGATGTTTGAATTAAAATGTAATTTTTGTCATATTTTAATTAATATTTGTTGAATTGTATATTTATTGTACAGAGAAATTCAAGGTAGTGGTTTAAGTGGGCCAATTCCTTCTGAAATTTCATTTCTGCACAACTTAGATGATTTGTAAGTACAATTAATGTTTTATAATGTAATGATAATGAATTTAATGTCAAACCATTTTCTTATTTTCATCAAAATATTGAATGCAGGAGAATTACTGACTTGACTAATGGATCGGATTCCACTTTCCCACAAATTAATAATATGACAAAGTTGGAAACACTGTGAGTGAGTTACTTAATTGCTTTCATTACTATTAATATTAATTATTTTGATTGATTTATTAATTAAAAATTGAGTGTTAAACTATTTTTGTTGCAAAAGTCACAAAATCTGATATTACTCCGTAGGATACTAAGGAACTGCCAAATTAGCGACGAATTACCTCCGTATCTTGGGAGCATGACAAGCATTAACATGAAAACCTTGTGAGTCTTTATTCGTGCAATCTATTTCCAATATGAACTCTTCAATGCAATTTTCTAATATTGATTTATATGTTAAAATACTAGCTATTTATTTTAATAGTCCAACTTTCAAAGTAATTGAATAATATTTTAGCTAAATAGCTCCGAGAATAGTTTATTTAATTTCTGGTCACATTTTATTGAGTTGCTATATTCATCAAATAGCTTAATGCACTAAAACATGTCTTAATATTTTATTATTTCTATTGTTTAGCATTTGTTAACTTGTTTTGGGTGATTTTCTTTCAGAGACCTAAGCTTTAACAAATTACGCGGAGAGATTCCAGAGACATTTGAAAAGCTATTATCAATACCCACACGCGTGTAAGTTATTTTTAGTTGTTGTTTGGTGTGGAAAAAATATTTTATTTATTTATTTTATACTGTTATATATAATTTTAGTAATGATTATATTTTTATGATAATTCTTAATTATTTTATTTTTTTTAAACCTAATAAAATTTTATATTATTTTCCCTAAAACACTATTCAAAAACTTTATTTTACTGTTTAAATCGAAACAACTTTTGAGACTCAAAAACAAAATAAGAAAAACTAATGAAATATAATTTCATAAGCAAAATTGAAATTTATTGGATGACATTACTTTAAATGTATTTTGTTTATTGGTTTGACATTTATGTAATTAGGTAGCATGTTTCATCTATATTTCAAAAGTCATCCCTCCAATTTAGACATTTGTTTATGCTGTGTGATGCTATCCAATTAGTAACACAATTACTTAATTTTCAAGAAAATATATTAATCGTGATTTTAACGAAAGGAGAAAAGAAATATAGTGAGACTAAAGATGATTAGCTTAGCATTATTTCATGTTTGACTACTACATAATTTATCTTTGTTTAATTGTTTCTTAGATATCTCACTGGAAATCTACTTAATGGAACACTACCTTCGTGGGTAGCTAATGGAGTTAAATCTGGGAAATCAATGTGAGTTCTATTTCAAACCCTAATTTATGCTTTCTTAATTTAAGTACTTTACACATTCTTTGATAATTAGATTGTGTATATTAGATTACTTTTTTTATCAGTAAAAGACTAATTTATATATATATATATATATATATATATATATATATATAATGCATCTTACTAGGTGCACACCAATAAAAAATATGTAAATGTCGCATTAGGATATTTATTAGATATCCAAACCCACACATTCTTATTTTTGCTAGTGTAAATATAATTGACCCTCGTCTTTAAATATAATTTTATTCCTTTGGTACCATTTGTTTTATGTTATCCACATCGATATTTAATTATTATTTCCTTTGCCATTCAACTATGATAAACTAAAGGCTTAGTTTCGGTATATTCCTATTTTAGTCTAGAATCTCAAATAGGTTTTTTTTTTTTTGGCGTCTGAATTGAGTCATTTTTTTTTGTAAAATTGAAGTAATCAGAGGCATGTCGTCAAATTAAACAAATGACTCGTTTAAGTTTGGGTTACGTGGCATTAAAAGTGTATTCATTAATCTCACGTGGTACTAAAAACGAGTTTTGTTTTAAAAATTTAGAGTGCAAAGATGTTGAATCAGATTTAGGGAAGGGTAAAGTGAGAAAATGTAAAACTTTAAGTGCAGCCCCCTAGAGGTTAAGATCGAGAATAGAACTAAATATGTTAAATAATAGAAATCACAAAGATTAAAGATACATTACCTCTAACTTTTATATATATATATATATATATATTCTGAATACTAAAAAAAAAAATGATGATGCTCTGGCATGAGTCTCCATCCTTTAGGTTAGTTCCCTGTTCCTCCAATCTAACTTTGTCAAGTCTCCCATTTATATGTAAATCTGTTGAATATATAAACATTGCTTGGTTTAGTACTTTTTGAATAAATTGATATTTTATACCTAGATGCTTGATCTTGGAATGAAAGAATGAATTTCTTCTCGGGACTCCGATTCGTTTTTATCTTAGTTTCTGAATTGAATTTTACATGTATTGATAGAGATCTTTCATACAACAAATTCACCGATAAAAACTCCGAAGCATGCCAAGAGACTGAAGGCGAAATGTAAGAACTGAAATATTTTATTTATTTTATCTGTAAATTTATCAAGATATTCATGTTACTATTAATATCTTTTCTGCTACAGGAACTTGTTTGAAAGCTTCCCAATGAGCCAAAGGTAATATATATGTGTATTCGTTTTTCTCTGTGGAAGACTTACTATTTAGATGTTTAGAAACCATTGGTTTGAGATTAAAACGCAGTTCATGTTTAGAAAAGAAGTGGACTTTTTTTCATAAATGAGTTTGAAATCTGCTAACCTGTTTTTGGTCTGCTTTTAATATTGTTACAGGGGAGCTGTTACTTGTCTGACTAGTGGAAACTGTACGACAAGTAAGTATGAGTAGTTCTTTCAAACTAAGTTGTTACTATTAAGCAATTGGACATGTTATCATGAATAAAAGAAACTTCTTTGTTATCATGAAAATATAATTTACCCCTTTATAAAGGTAAAATAAAGAATAAGATCTCATTTTCTTAAACACAACCAATACTTAACAATATCATTTAAACTTTATAATAAAATAAAAATTAGTATTGCATTCCTATAAGTCTGACTTTTTTTCGTTTGTAACAGCCTTTGATTATTTCCATATAAATTGTGGTGGTGAACAAGTGAAAAGTAGTGAAGGTATACTATACGATGAAAACTCGGATCCATCGGGAGCAGCAACATCTAAAATGCCCAAAGAAAACTGGGCATTTAGCAATACCGGTCATTTCTTGGATGCTAATACTAATGCAAAAGTCTATATCCAAAAAAGTCAAAATACGCTTTCTATGACAGACTCTGCATTGTATCGGACTGCACGTGTATCTCCCATTTCCTTGACTTATTACGGAACGTGTCTGAAAAATGGAGAGTACACAGTATCACTGCATTTTGCAGAGATCGTGTTCACTGATGATAACACATATAGCAGTCTTGGAAGACGTATATTTGATGTTTACATTCAGGTACTATAGCCGTCTTTGTAGTGTATTTGACTTCACTTGTAGAATTACTCAAAGTTTAGACTCTATGTTTTAAGAACTACAGAAGTCAAAATCCATTAAGGTTTGGATTGAAACTATTGCAGGAAAAGCTAGAATTGAAGGATTTCAATATTGCAAATGAAGCAGGAGGAGTTGGAAAGAACATCACAAAAAGAATTTCAACTACTGTTAGTAATGGAACTTTAAACATTCGGTTTTATTGGGCTGGAAAAGGAACAACTGCTATCCCATATAAATCAGTATATGGGCCTCTTATATCAGCTATATCTGCCACTCGTGGTAACTCACTCTGTCTCTGTCACTTTATTTCTTCCAATTTTGCATTTAAGGAATCAAATGACACCTATTGCTCTTCTGCAATTATCAGTAAACAGTTCCAGCAAAGGTCCACGTGACATGGCTATGGGGGTTGTAATTGGGATAGCAGTTTCTGCAATAATATTTGTCATACTTGTTGTACTTGCCTGGAGACTTCATATTGGCAAAAGAAATTCATTAACAAAAGGTAAATATCTAGAATAAAGTGACAAACTATAAATGATGAAATATGTGTTTGTTTTGTTCTTATCTCCATAAAAATCTTTACAAGAAATTAATATATGCACAACAGTATAAAATATTTTTATAATGTTGTTCTATCAATGATAAATTCTCTCATTTTGATGATAATTATTTTAAAAGTCATAATAAACACGACTTTCAATTATCTGATAAATATAACAATTTTACACTACATATTCACTAAATTCAATTTTTGTTGTGTCATTTAGTAGTATAACTTTTTTTAATGGACAAAAGATGTTATTCCAGCTTGGTATATTTTTTGATAATTAAAACAAGAGAAAAAAATAGTATACTAACAACATAAAATAGTTTTTTTACATCTTCCAATCCCAACTATACTATTATGTGTGACAAGTGTGTTGACTTTTATAATTATTACCTTAACAAGTTAACGGTCATCTACAATTGGACTATAGGGTATCATAATTAAAGTCTTAAAATAATATTTTTTTTCTTCAACATATCAATAAAACACAACATTTTCTCAAGATGTATGATGTATCTAACTTTAGTTCTATTTTATTGACAGAGTTAAAGCATTTAAATTTGCAAGTGGGTTTGTTTACTATGCGTCAAATAAAAGTTGCAACGAATAACTTTGATATTGCTAATAAGATTGGAGAAGGAGGCTTTGGTCCTGTCTACAAGGTACCCTTCAACATATTACATAACTTCTCATAACTATTTTGATTGATCTATGAATATTATAAATAACCTATTACATAATACAGAAAACTCACAAAAAATTGTGTATTATTTTGTAATTATAGGGTACTTTATCGGATGGCACAACAATAGCAGTTAAGATGCTTTCATCAAAGTCTAAGCAAGGGAACCGTGAGTTTATAAATGAGATAGGGTTGATTTCTGCTTTGCAACACCCTTGTCTTGTCAAACTTTACGGTTGTTGTGTTGAGGGAAATCAGTTGTTGCTGGTTTACGAATATCTGGAAAACAATAGTCTTGCACATGCTTTATTTAGTAAGTATTTGTTTTCATAATAATCGTCAAATGTAGTTCTCAATTTATTGTAACTTATTTTTAATATTTAAATGACTAAATGGTATTGATGTATGAAGGAAATGAAGAATCTTGTTTGCGATTGGATTGGCCAACCAGGCACAAGATTTGTGTTGGTATAGCTAGAGGTTTGGCTTTCCTACATGAAGAATCAAGATTAAAAGTTGTTCACAGAGACATAAAGGCTACTAATGTGTTGTTAGACAAAGATCTTAATCCTAAGATATCTGATTTTGGTCTTGCAAAGCTTGATGATGAAGACAACACTCACATAAGCACAAGAATAGCTGGGACTTAGTAAGTAAATGAATCTTTTCCATGAATATTGTTTAAAAACAAAGGAAAGAAACTTTACATAGTAAAGTTGTTATGATAGTTCAAATAAAAAAATTTAAACATTATTTGATTCAAGAAATTTGATATGAATATGGATTTGAATTATGCAGTGGATATATGGCTCCAGAATATGCAATGCATGGTTATTTAACTGATAAAGCAGATGTGTATAGTTTTGGAGTGGTTGCCTTGGAAATTGTTACTGGAAAGAGTAATACCATCCCGAGACCCAAGCAAGAAGCATTGCATCTTTTAGATTGGGTAACTTCTATTTTCTGCAGTTGTTTGTGTCAATCAAATTATTCATTGCACACTATATTTATTTTGTTACCTTGCGTGTCATTCAACTTTTGTACTTTGTTTTTTCCTTTTATTTTATTTTCACATGCTTGAAATGTTGGCTTTTGTTCAACAGGCACATATATTGAAAGAGAAAGGGAATCTGATGGAGCTTATTGATAGAAGATTAGGAACAAATTTCAATGAAAAAGAGGTTATGATGATGATAAAAGTGGGTCTTCTGTGCACAAATGCCACTGCAAACCTTAGACCTACCATGTCATCAGTTCTTAGCATGCTTGAAGGAAAAACTGTGATTCCAGAATTTGTTTCAGATTCATCTGAAGTAATGGATGAAAAGAAGCAAGAGGCTATGAGACAATATTACTCTCAAATGGAAGAAAATGAGATCAATGAAACACATAGATATGATAGTTCATCAAAAGATGGGCCATGGACTGCTTCTTCTTCATCAGCTGCAGATTTATATCCTGTCCATACTGATTCTTCTTATTGGGAGAAAAGAAATTAGAAGGGTGTAATTTTGTTTTCACACTATTTTCCAAACCATAATTGTGATATTATATATTAATTATGATAAGGTTTTTAATAGTTATTGTAATGATTAGTTAACATAATGTGTTACACTCTTTACCAACTATATAATTGGAAATATCAAGGGAAGCATATTTTTAAAAAATATTGTGAAATCTTAATGTTTAAAGAAAAGCTTTAATAAACATGTTGATATCTTAGTAAATACACTGTCAAGTGACATTTCAGTAAACACATCAACATGTCATAAGATAATTTTGCTAAACGCATTTTTGATATACATTGTTAAACAATACTACACAAACTTTCATTATATCTTGCAAATAATATGTAAAATGATGTTTTTGATAAATGCACTAAAATCAATAAATAACGCTCCAAAAAAAGATGTGTTGAGTGAGAGAACACACTCTCACTCTCAAGCTTCATAGAATTATAAGCTTACATTTTTAAGTAGAGAGATCCTACAAACAAAGTCTATTAGATTGAATTGTATTGTAAACATATCCTTTGCATGAGAGTAATTGTCTAAAACTTGTAAGCATTCTGATTAATTGCACATTCTGAAAAGAATTCAAACACTTAATGATTAACTCGATTGAGTTTTAAACGCTAGATAAGCAGTGTATCAGGTTGATACAAGGATTGTCTAGTGGAAATCAAGAGCGGATGAAACTCAACAAGACAACATATCAGGAAGATACTGGGATTGTCTAAAGATATCAAGAGTGGTGAAGAATACTGCACAACTATGAGTGAGTGATACTCAGTTCTAGTTAGTGTAATGGTGGTTTATTGAGATTGACTAGGTGTAACCAAGAGTGTTGCGAATACTCAGTTGTACTCTTGTTGAAGATTATAGTGAAACCCTCTAAGAAGTTTTAAAGGAGAACTCAGCTATGTGAACCAATATAAAATAAATATGTGTTTATTATTTCAGCTTTACAAAACATTTTACTTATAAACTCTACAATTGCTTATTAACATAATTGTTTATAAAGCTCTTGTCACCAAACACTATCTCTCTTAAGAGTTGTCTTTCTCAAAAGACTATAGTAGCTTGCTAAAATGCTGAAAAATATTTTATCTTTGAACTTTCAGTTTAAACAGTACTTTACTAATCAAGTTTCTGATAACTTGTGTAAACCGTTTAATCCTTAACAAAATTGTTAAAGGACTTTTTGTCAAAAAGTTTTTCACAACATTATTCAACCCCTTCTAATGTTTTCCAATTATTTCAAATTAGAGAAGGAACAAGTCAAACCAAATAAACTACTCAAATAATAACATTAAACGTATTTGACACGTGAAAAACATT